TGTCTGGCTCACTGCCCCCCAAAATGGACCCAGCTGAGGGGTCCCGTTCTCTGCACCTGCAAGCTCTGGTTTAGACCATGTTCCTGTCGTCTAATAAACCTTCTGTTTTACTGGCTGGCTGAGAGTCACGTCTGACTGCGAAGTTGGGGTGCAGGACCCTCTGGCTTCCCCAGGAGCCCCGCCTGAGCGGACTCGCTGTGGGAAGCGCAGGGAGGGGCAGAGGATGCTGAATGCTCCGAGGTCAGACCCAGGAAGGTGGAAGCTGAGTGAGCTGCGTGTCCTGAAGACAGGCTGCTCACAGAAAGGCGACTGCCCCAGAGTCCTGACTGGCTTCATGGGGAGCAGTTCCAGAGCATCGCCCAGGGACTCCGTGACACCGGTACACTGTACCGGGGCGTACCAGCTTACTTTCACCTCTGCTAACGTCTGCCTTCTTGAATTGCCCTTTGACTGCATCACCATATTGTGCATGACTCCCGCGGGTGCTGCTGATATGGGCAACCCACTCCAGCCCCTGCCCGGGGCCTGACGGACCCGTTCCATCCAGGAGGTGGTGACCGCGAACCCGGAGGCAGCCTGGGCAGAGAGAGGGACAGATTTAAACAGGACACTCGGACCACCACTTGCAAATCCCCCTCTTTAGAAGAGACACACCTGGCACGAACCCAGGCTCTTTGTGTAAGGCTGGGAGAGAAGCGCAGGGATCACCCTTCTCACGGCAGGGCTCCTCGCAGGATCGCATTTGAGAGTCCTCTCTGAATTTATGCAGGTCAAAATCTCGTCTTCTGTATCCCCTTCCCTAACTCCCAAACCCAGCCCTAACCCTAAGGAGAAACTCTAACCCGAACCTGAGCACTTCTCTTAACCTTAACATTTAACGTGTACCTTAAACCTATCATCTTAACTCTACCCCTCAAGTGAACTGTAACCCTAAATGTAAATTCGAACCCTGACCTCAAATATTAGCCCTAACCCTACATTTTATCCTGACTGACCCGTCCCCGAGTGACTGTGCGTCCCAGAACCGGACCCAGGGCCCGGCAGCGTCACCCCCAGGTCAGCTCCAGAGGGAGAATCCCCTCCCTGCTCCACCTGGAGACTCTCATTTAGCCAGCCCAGGACAGTGTTAGCCCGTCTGGCCGTAGCGTCACACAGGGGGGCCTGGTTTGGATGATTCTCCCCCAACGCCCCGAAACCCTTCCGGAGTTGCTGCTCCCCAGCCCCCTGCTGTGTGTCTGGCCGACGCCCCTCGCCCTAGTCGGTGACGTGTGGCCGAATGAAAATGCCCAGTTATCGGCTGGCCTGGCAGGTTTCCCGCGCCCCCTTTCTCAAAGCCGGCCACAGACACACTGGTTATTTCACCTGGGAAACTGCAAGGGCGTTTTAGGCCTGTTCAGAGTTTCCCCTGAGCTCGCCCATCGCTGGGTTTCCCCGAGACCAGTCCAAGCCGAAGTCAAACGGCCGCTCGGCGGGTGAAGCCGGCCCGGTGCCACGTGGGCGGAAGGTTCGGTCCGGACACAAACGAGCCGTTTTCTGGGCGTCTCGAGCATGACACCAGCTTGGGTGTTCGCGTGGCTCCCTGCTGCGCTCGCGGGTTTAGCGCATCTCCCATGCAGGCCGCTGCGGCCTGATTGTGCGTGCACACCAGTGGGGCTGGGTGCACATGTGGGCGTCAGGCTGGGTTTGGGTGTGTCCATGTGTGGGGGGGATTCCTGTGTAGGTCTCAGCCCTACTGTCCCCCTTCCCTCAAGCCCGGATTCCCCCCTGGCCAGCGCCCACATGTGGGGCCGGATTTTTCGGCTCCGGGCCCGTTGCCCACCCAGGCGCTGGGGTCGTCGAACCCACCCACTGACACACAGAGCAGGGCTCAGCCCCTCCAGGCGGGGGCAGCCCCCCAACCGAATCACGAGCCAAACACCTGACCTCTGTAGCCTGACCCAGAGCTGGGTATATATAATTGTAAAACTTGAGGATTAACAGGTTTCTTGTCCCAAGATCAGGCCCAGTAAGATTATTGTAAAATTACCGTATAATTTGGGAACCCCAATGTGCCCAGGTGCAACACTCACACATAGGAACCCTCTCTACGTATATAGACATATGATTTATTAATAATTTAGCAAAGTTATATACACACTTAAACGCAACGAGGCAGACAGAGATAACAGAGAAAATACATTTGGACGGCCATCCTTACACCCTGGACTGTTCACCATTATCTTTCTCATCACCGTCACCGTCCTCGTCTTCCCATCAGTCTGGCCCCCCACAAGGTCTACGTCTCTCCAGCCCATCTGCTGCCCCTGGGATGTTACTTTTATAGTCGGTCACGCTGACGAGCCATGACCGATGCATATTCAACAGCGGTCCTGGTTTGCATTTCCTCCCCGTAAGGGGTCCGTTTGCTACGGGTTAGTCGATGTCTGACGTCACCCCATTAGCATCCGCGTCCGTTTGCTGTCATGGCACTGATGCGGTGGGAGGTTCTGTCCCGAACTTTCCGGATGCTGGTGTCAGCGATGTTCTGTGGGTGGCTGATGTCGGGATTTTGGATAAAATGCCCGCCCTGGCATACCACTTTCAGCTCCCTATAACTCACCTACTACAGGACAGGCTCAACAAAGAAAATAACAGAACGCCAGTAGCCATCACCTTCATCCCCCAACTAAAACCTCTCCAACGCATCATCAGGGATCTACAACCTATCCTGAAGGACGACCCATCACTCTCACAGATCTTGGGAGACAGGCCAGTCCTTGCCTACAGACAGCCCCCCAACCTGAAGCAAATACTCACCAGCAACCACACACTACACAACAAAACCACTAACCCAAGAACCTATCCTTGCAACAAAGCTCGTTGCCAACCGTGTCCACAGATCTATTCAGGGGACACCATCACAAGGCCTAATCACATCAGCCACACGATCAGAGGCTCGTTCACCTGCACATCTGCCAATGTGATAGATGCCATCATGTTCCAGCAATGCCCCTCTGCCATGTACATTGGCCAAACCGGACAGTCTCTACGCAAAAGAATAAATGGACACAAATCAGACGTCAAGAATTATAACATTCAAAAACCAGTCGGAGAACACTTCAATCTCTCTGGTCACTCAATTACAGACCTAAAAGTCACAATATCACAACAACAAAACTTCAAAAACAGACGCCAACGAGAAACTGCAGAACTGGAATTAATTTGCAAACTGGACACCATTAAATTAGGCTTGAATAAAGACTGGGAGTGGATGGGTCATTACACAAAGTAAAACGATTTCTCCATGCTTATTTCCCCCCCACACACCCCTACTGTTACTCACACCTTCTTGTCAGCTGTTGGAAATGGGCCACCCTGATTATCACTACAAAAGGTTTTTTTCTCCTGCTGATAATAGCCCCCCTTAACTGATCACTCTCATCATAGTGTGTATGGCAACCCCCATTGTTTCATGTTCTCTGTATATATCTATCGATCTTCCTACTGTATTTTCCACTGCGTGCATCCGATGAAGAGGGTTTTAGTCCACTAAAAACTTATGCTCAAATGAATTTGTTAGTCTCTAAGGTGCCACAAGGCTTCCTCGTTCTTTCTGCTGACACAGACTAACACGGCTGCCCCTCTGAAACCTATAACTTATGAGATACTTAAGTCTACCTATGCCAAAGGTTATAGGTTGTTAGGATATAGATATTCAGGCCTGTCTGTAAAGGCCTATACTCTAAGAATTTAGGTGTATTCCTATCACTTGGCTAGTTAGAGGTATAAAAGAAAGAATCAAAATCACTGTCTGCCAGTGTAAGGGCCTTCTCTTACTGTGACAGTCTGAGGCCCTGTTCTTAGGCTCAGGCCTTTGGCTAAGCGACAGAGGCAGCCATAAGCTGGGAAGCGACCGGTCACATCCTCACATTCCAAACTAGTCACATTGAAATAAGGTGCTATTGGGCTGTTAGGAATTTAATCCTGTCCTTATAGTGCCTATCACCTCCAGAGAAAGGGAAGTGCCTAGAAGCTGTAAAAGGAAATTGAGGTTGATAGTTTTCTGTCTGGTAAGAACTCACTTATCAATAGACACAGCTGGGAAACTCTTATGTCTTTACAGATGTAGTTGTGAAATCCTCACTTCTGTATTGTTTTGTCATTATAGTTCCCACTTTGCTATTGTTTATTGGCATGGTCTCTGTCTGGTTCTGTGATTGCTTCTGTCTGCTGTATAATTAATTTTGCTGGGTGTAAACTAATTAAGGTGGTGGGATATAATTGGTTAGCTAATCCATGTTAGGATTGGTTAGTTAAATTTTAGTAGAATGATTGGTTAAGGTATAGCTAAGAATATTACTATATAAATTAGGGGCAAACAGGAAGTAAGTTGGGATTCGAAAATAAGGAAAAAGGAACTTGTATTTAGCTTGCTGGAAGTTCACCCCAATAAACATCGAATTGTTTGCACCTTCGGACTTCGGGTATTGTTGCTCTCTGTTCATGCGAGAAGAACCAGGGAAGTGGGAGAGTGAAGGAATAAGCTCTCTAACATCGGTCTCATGCCTCTCATTCCCTACAAAAGGCAAATCGTACAGGGTCAAAGCCGGCAGGTTCCTGGCATTATCATAAATAGAATAAAGCAGGATAACAAAGCAAGGAATGGGGTACAGGTAAGCTGGCCCCCTGGGCCACACCTCCCCCCGGGCGTGAGGGACAGGGACTGGGATGGCGAGGAGAACGGGGAGGAAATTGGGCACGGGGGGGGGTGTCTCTGGGGCACCCAGGCTGCCCCCACATCCAGGGCCTGGGTACCCCCCGTCTCCAGCCAGGGGCGCTGTGGTACCGGTTGCCCAATGGGATCATTGCACCAGAGCTGTGGAAGTCGCGCCATGGTGCAATCCCGCTGAGCAGCGCGCGGGAGGGGGGACTATAAATTAGAGGTTCCCCCCCCCCCCCTACATGGCTGAGACTCGCCCGCTCGGACACAGCTGCACAGTTCCCGGGGGGGTTGCACCTCTCCGGCAGCTGGGCTCTCCGGGGCCATGGGGGGCCCTGGGGCGGGACATGGGGCCCCGGCAGCATCACTGCTGGCAATCCTGGCTTCTGCTCTGCTGATCCCAGGTACCAACAGCCCGGATTCCTGGGTTCCCTGGAGGGGCTGGGGGCTGGGGGGTCAGAGCAGCGGGGCTGGGAGCTGGATTCTGGGTTCTCTCCCCAGCCCTGGGAGGGGAGTGGGGTCTGGTGTGTGTGGGGGTGGGAGGGGCTGGGAGCCAGGACTCCTGGGTTCTCTCCCTGGCTCTGGGAGGAGAGGGGAGGGGGAGCCTAGTGGATAGAGTGGGTGGGGGGCTTCGGGAGCCAGGATTCCTGGGTTCTCTGGGAAGAGAGTGGGGTCTGGTGGTTAGACCTGAGGAGGGAGGAGGCTGGGATCAAGGACTCCTGGGTTCTCTCCCCAGCCCTGGGAGGGGAGTGGGGTCTGGTGTGGGGGGGATGGCTGGGAGCCAGGACTCCTGGGTTCTTTCCCTGGCTCTGGGAGGGGAGTGGGGTCTAGTGGTTAAAGCAGTGGGGCTGGGAGCCAGTATTCCTGGGTTCTCTCCTCAGTTCTGGGAGGGGAGTGGGGTCTAGTGGGTTAGAGCGGGGGCAGCCTGGGAGCCAGGACTCCTGGGTTCTCTCCCCTGCTCTGGGAGGAGAGGGAGGGGGAGCCTAGTGGGTAGAGTGTGTGTGGGGTGGGGGTCGGGAGCCAGGATTCCTGGGTTCTCTGGGAAGGGCGTGGGGTCTGGTGGTTAGAGCCGGGGCAGGAGGACGCTGGGATCCAGGACTCCTGGGTTCTCTCCCTGGCTGTGGGAGGGGAAAGGGGGGGGGCCCAGTGGATACAGCTGGGAGCCAGGACTCCCCCTGCCTAGCCCCTAGTGGGCACAACTTGTGGTATTGTTGTTTCGCGGGCTCAGGCACCACCTCCGTTGTGAGCGCACACGCAGAATTCTAGACACACGACACGGCTCGCCTCTCTCCCCCCCACAACCACAAACACACAGAGGGACCCACAAACCATCACGTCCACACAGACCCACCATGGCATGCAGAGAAACACAATCTCACACACACACACACACACACACACACACACAGCAGGGCTCGTCCCCTCCAGCAGGGGGCAGCAGGGACACGGGGACACACAGACATACACAGAGCAGGGCCCGCCCCTCCAGCAGGGGGAGCAGGGACACGGGGACACACAGACACACACACAGAGCAGGGCCGCCCCTCCAGCAGGGGGCAGCAGGGACACGACACACACAGACACACACAGAGCAGCCCGTCCTCCAGCAGGGGGAGCAGGGACACACACACACAGACGCACACAGAGAGGGCCCGTCTCCTCCAGCAGGGGGAGCAGGGACACGGACACACACAGACACACACAGAGCAGGGCCCAGCCCCTCCAGCAGGGGGAGCAGGGACACGGACACACACAGACGCACACAGAGCAGGGCCCAGCCCCTCCAGCAGGGGGCAGCAGGGACACGGACACACACAGAGCAGGGCCCGTCCCCTCCAGCAGGGGGAGCAGGGACACGGACACACACAGACACACACACAGAGCAGGGCCCGTCCCCTCCAGCAGGGGGCAGCAGGGACACGGGGACACACACCACAGAGCAGGGCCCAGCCCCTCCAGCAGGGGGAGCAGGGACAGCACACGGACACACAGACACACACAGAGCAGGGCCCGTCCCCTCCAGCAGGGGGCAGCAGGGACACGACACACACAGACACACACACAGAGCAGGGCTCGTCCCCTCCAGCAGGGGGCAGCAGGGACACGGACACACACAGACACACACAGAGCAGGGCCCGTCCCCTCCAGCAGGGGGCAGCAGGGAACCACAACACACACAAACCCCCCCCCCACAGGGCAACAGACACACACACACAAGCAGGCCCTCCCCTCCAGCAGGGGGCAGCAGGGACACGGGACACAAACACAAAGCAGGCCCCCCTCCAGCAGGGGCGAGGGAAGGGACACACAGAGCAGGGCCCGTCCCCTCCAGCAGGGGGCAGCAGGGACACGGGGACACGCCCCCGGTGCCCACCCCGCCTCCACGTCTCCGGCTCCCCGCAGAGGCTGGCTCCCTGCGCTGTGACAGCCGCAGCTGCATCCTGCTCCGCGACCGGGGGGTAAACGCCTCCCCAGCGTCGTCACCCCCAGCGGCACCGAGTCCTGCACCCCGGCCCACGGCGCCTGCATGGAGGCTGCCGTCACCCTCAGCACAGGTGACACCCCCACGGCACAGGGAGGCCGGATACCGGGCTCGATGGGCCCATGGGCCTGATCCATGAGGGGCAGGGAGCGGGCGGGACACAGGCTCAATGGGCCCGTGGGGCTGATCCAGGGGGCAGGGAGGGGGCGGGACACAGGGCTCGATGGGCCCATGGGCCTGATCCATGAGGGGCAGGGAGCGGGCAGGATACCAGGGTAGATGGGCCCATGGGGCTGATTCAAGGGGCAGGGAGTGGGCGGGACACCAGGGTAGATGGGCCCGTGGGGCTGATCCAGGGGGCAGGGAGGAGGCGGGATATGAGGGTAGATGGGCCCATGGGGCTGAGCCGAGAGGGGCAGGGAATGGGTGGGATATGAGAGTAGATGGACCCATGGGGCTGATCTAAGGGGCAGGGAGTGGGCGGGACACCAGGGTAGATGGGCCCGTGGGGCTGATCCAGGGGGCAGGGCGGAGGAGGGACACTGGGCTCGATGGGCCCATGGGGCTGAGCCGAGAGGGGCAGGGAGTGGGCGGGATATGAGGGTAGATTGGCCCGTGGGGCTGATTCCAGGCGTTCCCCAGAGATGGGCCCCGCCCCAGGGTCTGTGGAACTCCCTGCTACTGTCTTCACCTGCCTTTCGTGTGGCTCTTTCTCTCCAGGGGGCATGTCTGTGACTCTGATCCAAAGGGGGTGCAGAGATGGACACCCCAAGGCAGGGACCGAACCGCCCGCTGGGCCCAGCAGATTCCTCCACATCCAGGCCGATGTCCGCTACTGCCTGTCTGACCAGTGCAATGCCAAGGGGCTGGATCTGGGGAGCCCTGGCCAGGCCACAGGTAACAGGAATGGGGAACAGGGCACGGGGGGCTCTGGGGGGCGCCGGCTCCCATCCAGCCCCAGGGCAGGGACTGGCTGGCTCCGGGGGGGGCGGGGAATGGGGCACAGGGGCCTGTCCCCTCTGGGGGGGCGCCGGTTCTGATCCGTGTCTCGTTGCAGCTCCGGCCCCCAGCGGCCCCACCCAGCGCTACGCCGGCCTGAGCCTCGGCCCCCAGCCCCACACTCTGGAGCGGGTGACATGTGACGGGGAGGACGCCCGCTGTTACCACGGCAACGGCACCCTCACAGCAGGTGGGTGGGGAGCAGTGGGGGTGACGCTGGGCTTTGTACCCCAGGAGCCCTGGCTCCCCCTGCTGCCCTTGGGGTGCATTGCAGCCCCCGCACCCCCCCTGCCAGTGACCAGGACGGCCCAACTGGGCGGGGCACTGCCTGGGTCAGGGTGCTGCCTCCGGCCCCCAGTGCGCCCCCGTCCCCGCCCCACTGCACCCTGGGGAGGTTGGCACAACCACCCCTTTGCCGTAAAAAAGGGAAGAAGGAGGATCCTGGGAACTACAGGCCAGTCAGCCTCACCTCAGTCCCTGGAAAAATCATGGAGCAGGTCCTCAAAGAATCAATCCTGAAGCACTTGCATGAGAGGAAAGTGATCAGGAACAGCCAGCATGGATTCACCAAGGGAAGGTCATGCCTGACTAATCTAATCGCCTTTTATGATGAGATTACTGGTTCTGTGGATGAAGGGAAAGCAGTGGATGTATTGTTTCTTGACTTTAGCAAAGCTTTTGACACGGTCTCCCACAGTATTCTTGTCAGCAAGTTAAGGAAGTATGGGCTGGATGAATGCACTATAAGGTGGGTAGAAAGCTGGCTAGATTGTCGGGCTCAACGGGTAGTGATCAATGGCTCCATGTCTAGTTGGCAGCCGGTATCAAGTGGAGTGCCACAAGGGTCGGTCCTGGGGCCGGTTTTGTTCAATATCTTCATAAATGATCTGGAGGATGGTGTGGATTGCACTCTCAGCAAATTTGCGGATGATACTAAACTGGGAGGAGTGGTAGATACGCTGGAGGGGAGGGATAGGATACAGAGGGACCTAGACAAATTGGAGGATTGGGCCAAAAGAAATCTGATGAGGTTCAATAAGGATAAGTGCAGGGTCCTGCAAAACCCAATGCACAGCTACAGACTAGGGACCGAATGGCTAGGCAGCAGTTCTGCGGGAAAGGACCTAGGGGTGACAGTGGACAAGAAGCTGGATATGAGTCAGCAGTGTGCCCTTGTTGCCAAGAAGGCCAATGGCATTTTGGGATGTATAAGTAGGGGCATAGCGAGCAGATCGAGGGACGTGATCGTTCCCCTCTATTCAGCACTGGTGAGGCCTCATCTGGAGTACTGTGTCCAGTTTTGGGCCCCACACTTCAAGAAGGATGTGGATAAATTGGAGAGAGTCCAGCGAAGGGCAACAAAAATGATTAGGGGACTGGAACACATGAGTTATGAGGAGAGGCTGAGGGAGCTGGGATTGTTTAGCCTGCAGAAGAGAAGAATGAGGGGGGATTTGATAGCTGCTTTCAACTACCTGAAAGGGGGTTCCAAAGAGGATGGCTCTAGACTGTTCTCAATGGTAGCAGATGACAGAACGAGGAGTAATGGTCTCAAGCTGCAGTGGGGGAGGTTTAGGTTGGATATTAGGAAAAACTTTTTCACTAAGAGGGTGGTGAAGCACTGGAATGCGTTACCTAGGGAGGTGGTAGAATCTCCTTCCTTCGAGGTTTTTAAGGTCAGGCTTGACAAAGCCCTGGCTGGGATGATTTAACTGGGAATTGGTCCTGCTTTGAGCAGGGGGTTGGACTAGATGACCTTCTGGGGTCCCTTCCAACCCTGATATTCTATGACCTCTCAATGGCTGCCCCATTGCACTCTGGGGAAGCTGGCATGATGCCGTTTCAATGGCTGCCCCCACTGCATTCTGGGAAGGTTGGCATGACAACCACCCCTTTGCCGTGACCTCTCAATGGCTGCCCCACTGCACCCTGGGAAGGTCAGCACGATGACCGTTGCCCCATGGCACATAACGGCTGCCCCATTGCACTCTGGGGAGGTTGGCATGATGCCCATTGCCCCATGGCACATAATGGCTGCCCCACTGCACCCTGGGAAGGTTGGCACCATGTCCCTCTCCCATGGCACGATAGTGGCTGCCCCGTTGCACCCTGGGAAGGTCAGCACAATGCCCGTTGCCCCATGGCACATAACGGCTGCCCCATTGCACTCTGGGAAGGTTGGCACGATGCCTGTTGCCCCATGGCATATAATGGCTGCCCCATTGCACCCTGAGAAGGTCAGCATGATGCCTATTGCCCCATGGCACATAGTGGCTGCCCCATTGCACCCTGGGGAGGTTGGCGTGATGCCCCTCTCCCATGGCACATAGTGGCTGCCCCATTGCACCCTGGGGAGGTTGGCGTGATGCCCCTCTCCCACGGCACATAGTGGCTGCCCCATTGCACCCTGGGAAGGTTGGCGTGATGCCCCTCTCCCACGGCACATAGTGGCTGCCCCATTGCACCCTGGGAAGGTTGGCGTCCCTCTCACACACGTCCCCCTTGTGCCCCCAGGGAAGCTGGCAGTGGCCGTCTTCATGTGGAGCTGCCAGGCCCCATCCTGCGCCGTGCCGCCCAGCCGCCACTTCGGCCCCCTGCAGCTCCGCCAGGCTGGCACCTGCTGCTCTGGCAGCTACTGCAACGGGCAGGGGGCCCTGGCACTGCTCTCCCTGGGCCTCAAGTTCTCCTCCGGCCACGTCCCCACCGGGATACCCGGCTACGGCCCCCTCGCCAACGCCACGGCCTGGAAAGGCCACCAACAGCCCGGGCGCAGCCACGGCACGGCAGCCACGGAGCTGCCCCACCAGGACGACAGCACGGAGGCCCACTATCCGGACCCAGACCACACCGGCTACGACCACAGCACGGACCCACTCAACCCCAGCTACGAGGGGGACCCGCCCCACAGCACCGGCCCCCGCGCGCGCCCAAAAGCCTGGCAAGAAAAACAGCTACCCCACGTCCACCCACGCCCACGTCTCCCAGGCGCCTGGCCTACGCCTCTGCCCCCTGCTAGTGGTTCTGGGGATAGCCCGCCTGGGGCTGTGAGCGGGGCTGGGGGCCAGGACGCCTGGGTTCTCTCCCCAACTCTTAGCAGCTATGAGGCAGTCATTCCCCCCCTCCCCCACATTGCATGCCTCAGTTTCCCCACATTTAAAGGGAGGGCTCCCAGAGGTGGGGGGTCAGCCCCATGTGACGTTCCCTGTTTCTCTGTGTTTCTGCTGCTGATTTCAGTCCCCATTGTGGGCCCCCCGTCCTCCGCGCCCCCCCCCCTCCCCCCAAGCCTCTCTCTTTAATAAAGTCTCTTACCCCCAAGCCCTTGCATCGCCCAGCTGGTCTCCTTCCGGCGGTGGGGTGCGGGGTGACAGGAATCCTGGTACCAGAGAATTGAGGCTGCTGGCCTGGGACATGTCAGGTGGTTCTGCAGCCCCCTTCAGGTCCCCCATCAGAGGGGATATGCCAGCCCCCTCTCTGGCACAGATGGGACCCACCCCCCACCCCAACCCATCGCAGTATAGAGGGGAGGGAGAGAATTGCCCCCCCCGCCCCCCGTTCCTTAGTATGGTGAGAAGAAAGGCAGGGGCCCTTTAAATGTGGAGGAAAACTGAAAAATGGACCCAGGCATCCAGGTGGGACTCCAAATTAGACAATTCCATACTGAACAGCCCCCGCCCCAGCTTCTTACCAGCCCCCCTTCGCTCCCTTGGGTCATTACGCAGCTGCCCTGCCCCAGAGGTGGCCGCATCTCAGCGCCGGACGAGGGGGCCCTGTGTAACCAGCCCCCCGCGCCCCGCCCCAGAGGTGGCCGCATCTCAGCGCCGGGCGAGGGGGCCCTGTGTAACCAGCCCCCCGCGCCCCGCCCCAGAGGTGGCCGCATCTCAGCGCCGGGCGAGGGGGCCCTGTGTAACAAGCCCCCCGCGCCCCGCCCCAGAGGTGGCCGCATCTCAGCGCCGGGCGAGGGGTCCGTGTGTAACCAGCCCCCCGCGCCCCACCCCAGAGGTGGCCGCATCTCAGCGCCGGGCGAGGGGGCCCTGTGTAACCAGCCCCCGCGCCCCACCCCAGAGGTGGCCGCATCTCAGCGCCGGGCGAGGGGTCCCTGTGTAACCAGCCCGGCGCGCCCCACCCCAGAGGTGGCCGCATCTCAGCGCCGGGCGAGGGGGCCCTGTGTAACCAGCCCCCCGCGCCCCACCCCAGAGGTGGCCGCATCTCAGCGCCGGGCGAGGGGTCCCTGTGTAACCAGCCCCCCGCGTCCCACCCGAGAGGTGGCCGCATCTCAGCGCCGGGCGAGGGGTCCCTGTGTAACCAGCCCGGCGCGCCCCACCCCAGAGGTGGCCGCATCTCAGCGCCGGGCGAGGGGTCCCTGTGTAACCAGCCCCCCGCGCCCCACCCTAGAGGTGGCCGTATCTCAGCGCCGGGCGAGGGGTCCCTGTGTAACCAGCCCCCCCGCGCTCCACCCCAGAGGTGGCCGCATCTCAGCGCCGGGCGAGGGGTCCCTGTGTAACCAGCCCCCCACGCCCCACCCGAGAGGTGGCCGCATCTCAGCGCCGGGCGAGGGGGTCCCTGTGTAACCAGCCCCCCGCACCCCACCCCAGAGGTGGCCGCATCTCAGCGCCGGGCGAGGGTCCCTGTGTAACCAGCCCCCCCGCGCCCCACCCCAGAGGTGGCCGCATCTCAGCGCCGGGCGAGGGGGCCCTGTGTAACCAGCCCCCCGCGCCGCACCCCAGAGGTGGCCGCATCTCAGCGCCGGGCGAGGGGGCCCTGTGTAACCAGCCCCCCGAGCCCCACCCCAGAGGTGGCCGCATCTCAGCGCCGGGCGAGGGGGTCCCTGTGTAACCAGGCCCCCGGATGGATGATTTCCCACATGCTGCCGGCAGAGCAGGTTCTATCCAGCCCCAGCCTGGCTGGGAGCCAGAAGCCAGCTGGAGGGGTGGGGAGCGAGCGGGGAGCAGGACGGCTGGGGGGCAGCAGAGGGGGGGGTCATTCATGGAAGCAGCCCTTCCTTGTCAGTCTGGCCGTCCTACCCTGTCGCTCACACGCAGTTTGTGACCACAGAGCGGGGCTTCGGGATCCCCCGTCACAGCCACCCCCCAGCCCAGCCGAGACCCTCCTCTGGACCCCACCACAGGCCGAGCCACCATGACCCACGGCAGGCCCAGGGCGTGGGAACTGGCCCCGCCCTATCTCCTGGCATCAGCTCTCCTGATACAAGGTACCGGGGTGGGTTAATGGAACCCAAAAGTAAGCAGGGCTGGGAGCCAGGACTCCTGGGTTCTACCCCAGCTTTGAGACGGGAGTGGGGGCTAATGGTTAGAGTATGGTGTGGGGGGCGGGAGTCAGGACTCCTGGGTTCTCTCCCCGGCTCTGGGAGGGGAGGGGAGTCTAGTGGTTAGAGCAGGGGGAGAGGAGCCAGGACTCCTGGGTTCTGGCCCTGGCTCTGGGACGGGAGAGGTGGGACACGGAATTTCATCTAGTGATTGGCACGAGGCCAAAGCTGGGGCTTCTTCCGCCCAAGGACAGTGAGGTGGGGGCAAAGTGTGGGGCGGGAGGAACTCGTCCCTCTGTGACACAACCCGCTCCCCCGGCCTTGGGGGTGTCAGGGGGCCCTGCTACTGACCCCTGTATCCTGATAGGCCCTTGTCCCCAAACCCCGGGGGGAGTCCCAGATGGCTCCCCCATAACCCCCCGACTCACTCATGCCGTGGGCACCGCCCTGCCAGCCGCAGCACCGCACCTGCGTGGAGGGCATCAACACGAGCGCGGCCCCCGGGGCTTCCCCGGGACCTCCGGGAACCAGGCAGCAGGGGGAGCCACTGAGCCACGGGGCGGGGGGAGGGAGGTGGCAGAGCCTGCTGGGGCGGGATCCGTGGGAAGCACAGGGCGGGGCTGGCGGGCGCGGAGACGGGACAGAGACGAGTTTGATGGGGGGCCTGTAACTGCTACAAAATTACTCCCCATTTCCACTGGGATTATGCTCCATGGGCATTACTCCCAGTTCACTCCAGAGTTACTCCCAGTTTACACTGGAGTTACTCCTGATTGGCAGTGACATTACTCTCAGGTTACTTCTGATCTGCAATTGATTCACTCCCAGTTTACATCGGAGTTACTCTAAATCTACATCAGAGTTGATCCTCATGTATACCAGGGCTCCTTTCCTTTTACACTGGAGTTACTCCACATTTACTCCAGGGTTACTCACTATTTACAAAGTAGCTAATCCTGACCTGTACTGGTCTCATTCCCAATTTACTCCATAGTTACACCCAATTTAAACCACAGTGACTCCTGAATGACACTGCAGTTATCCCCGATTGCTCAATGGGTTTACTCTCGATTTTACCCTGGAGTTACTCCCAATTCACAACAGTTACTCTAGTTTTACTCTAGTCACACCGGATTTGCTCCTGATTTACAGTGATATTACTCCTGTTTCACACTGGAGTGACTCCTGATTTCCACATCTCAGTTACCAGACTGACACTGATTTGACTCTGGATTGACACTGATTTTACTCCCCTTTCAACGGCAGTTACTCATAATTTATACTATATTTACCCTCTATGTGCAACGCCGCTACCCCTAATTTGCAACAGAGCCACTCCTGATTTACAGTGGAGCCCCTCCCCATCTCCACCATAGCCCCTCCCCATTCCAACCAGATTTCCTCCCCATTTACACCAGATTACCTCAGGATTTAGGACCAGTCCTGCCCCTCTTACCCCCTTTAAGCCTCACCACCCTCTGCAGCTCTGCCTTCGGCGCTGGCAAACCCAGGCCTAAGGTTCCCGGAGTAAAGGGAGGAAACCCTGCCTTTGAGTGAGAGACTCCAGGAGCTCCAGCTATTTAGCTAAACAAAGAGACTTGATCCCCGTCCATGCGTCCCTACGAGTGGAACAACTATTGAAAACAGGCTCTTCGGTCGCGCAGAGGAAGGTCTGACCCGACCCGACGGCTGGGAGCTGAAGCCGGACAGATTCAGACTGGAAATAAGATGGACATTTTTAATGGTGAGGGTGAGTTTCCAAGTGGGGTGGTGGATTCTCCATCAGGCCAAGTTTTCAGTCAAGCTGGGAAGTTTGTCTAATAGCTCTGCCCCGGTTCACACAGGCCGACGGCACACGGAGCGTCTACACTCATTGGTAACCCTGGGTTAGGCAGGGTTGAGCCCTGGCCCCCGGGTTGGGGCTCCTGCGTCTACATTGCAGAGCGATAGGGCTTGACTCCAACACGACCCCACGGTGAGGTCCTGGGTCGGTGTGTAGACAGAAAGGGGGCAGGGTTAGGCCTGCACCGTGGACAGGCCCCGGAGCTCCGCCCGGCTGGTGCCAGCTGGCCTTGGAAGAGGGGATTGTACCAAGGGTGGGTGGCATCTGGCCCTCACCGTGCACTCGCCTGGGGGCTCTTTTCCGCTGCTCTCTTCACCCCCCACCCCCAACTTTGATTTCCAGGCAGCTGGACGGTGACCGTGGTGCACCCAAAAGCCCCTTCTCGGGCACCTCGGCGTCGTCTAACTCCAACCTGCCTGGCTACTCCTGCCACCACGTCTGCAACACCAGCCTCTGCAACTGGCTGGGAGAGTCTGGGAGCCAGGCAGGTAACTGCAGCTCTGGGCATCTAGGGGGCACCAGCCTCGGGGGGGTGGGGAATGGGGCACGGGGACTGTCCCCTGTAGGGGGCGCTGGCTCCCATCCTGCCCCAGGGCGGGGCCTGGCTTATGGAGGGGCAGTAACCTCCCAGGTGCGTCTCCCCACCCAGAGCCCCTGCCCAGCGGTGCTGGGTGCCCGGTGTCTCCGGCTCCCACCCAGGAGGCCTGCCCTGCCCCTGAGAAGACCAAGTGCCTTGGGCAGAACAGGTACCTCTTCAACGGCACCCGCCCCAGGCCATCAGCATCGGTGAGGGACGCCCGGGGTCCGCCCTGGCTTAGGGAGGACAGTGTGGTCCAGTGGTTAGAGCGGGGGGGGGGCTGGGAGCCAGGACTCCTGGGTTCTATCCTGGCTCGGGGAGTGGAGTGGAGTGGTTAGAGTTGGGGGGCTGGGAGCCAGGACTCCTGCATTCTCTACCTGGCTCTGGGAGAGGAGTGGGGTCTAGGGGTTAGAGCAGAGGGGGCTGGGAGCCAGGACTCCTGGGTTCTCTCCCTTGCCCGTGCTCTCCTTGTGCGGTGGACAATCCCAGCAGGGCCGGTGCCCGGGGCTCTCAGCTGTGAGCCGTAGCGGCCCCAACCGCTCTGTGCTTTTCTTGCACAGTCCAACGGTGAGAGGAGGGATGGGCCCACCCTGCCCGGGGCTGAAGAACAGAC